TTGTACAATCGATTGACAAATGGAAGTTGCGAGGCATTCAGTGAAGGCTTCATGAAGAGAAATACAAATGATTTTTATGCACCTATCAAAACTAGTTCTTTTAAAATCAAGTCCGTCTTTCAAGATGAAAGTTATGAGGAGTATTATACTCGTTATAGATAGATTGACTCAAACATAAATATAAAGGAAAGTCTCACTGAGACAAAAATATTTCCTAACTGGAACCATGTATAGTAAAAACTCCAAAATTCAGAATGTTTGGAGAATAGAGTATTCTGATTATTTAGAATTTGTTTACTGTATGATTTTTTGTTGTTACTAAAAGATATTTTTAAATATACTTATTCCAATTTTCTCTTTTCATATGGTATGTAAAAATACAGCTGATCATTTATTGAACATGGGTACTTTTCTGAATTGAGGGTTATTTTCTGAATACAAGTTATAATTGTTTTTATGGCAATTAACATTATTAAATAACTCATTTGGTTCTTACTACCCTTCGAGGGCAGTATTGTTACCCCATTTGAAAGATGAAGTAGCTAAGGGTTAGAGAGGGAGAGTCATCTGTCCCTGGGTACACGGTTAACCAAAAGGTGGAGACCAGATTAGAATCCGGGTCAGTCCTAATTCATAACAACTCAGCTAAGTTCCTGTGTGCGCAGAACCAGTGGGAAATGCAGATACTTGCTCAAAGGTTCTGCAATGTGGAACCTCCCGGACAGGGGTCCTCTTACCCCTCTCTGGGATCTCAGGAGTCCCTATTCTTTGCCAGTTCCTGCAAACACTCAGTGTCTTCCAGAGGCGTGGCTAATCAGTTAACTCAGTCACACCCATTCCCTTTATGGAGAACCTACTATGCACCAGACTGTAGAGAGAAAGTCATGGTCTCTGCCCTCTAGGAGCTGCAGGCCACCTCACCACGTGACTGGAAACCACGTCCCCTCCTTGGCTACCAGCAAATGAGTACAGATGGGCCACTTACTGAGAGAGCATCACTGAGTCCCATCAGCTGAGAAATTGCAGAATTCAGTGAGAAGTCCTCTGTGAAATGGGCAGTCACCTATGGGTGAAAGTTAAATTATTCACTTTGTTCAAATTTCCTTTAAGCTTTCCACATAAAAATTGAATTACCCCCAAAATGTGAAACTAAATGCATGCAATAAAATATATTTATAAATGTAAAAAAAAAAAGAAAACTTTCTTGCAAAGTACTATGCTATACAGCTCAGCAGATACAAAATAATGATTAATATATTGCATCTGTCTTCAAAGAGTTTATAGCCTTTGTAGGTCTCCTATATAACAGATTATTGTAATAATAATTAATAATAACAATTTACTATTATATATTCTTTTCATATATGCAGAATGAGAAGCATGAAAAAATGCATAGGCATTACAGTTATATTGATAGATTTTCTCCCAAAATTTGTTTAAGCTTTTATAGAAAAGGTCAGAATACACTAAATATTTTAGAAATCTTTTCATTTAGATGTTTACATATTGATTTTTATATAGTGATATTGAAGTGTGGGTTTTATTTCCGACTGAAAGAAACTTGTACAACATAAACGATACATAAATTGCAATGTGGCATTATATACATTTTAGAAATGGTGAGCAAGTTTCTTAATCGATGCTTAATTACCCCCATCGGTAGTTGCATTAAAATATAAGCTTGTCCTCCTTGGAATTTAAAATAATTGAAATCTATATTTCATAAACCCATATAATTATACCTTTTCTCAGGAGACATTTTACAAGTTATAAAGCTGCTGTGAGCAATAAAAATAAAGATTGTGGCTCAGGAGTGTTTTTTAGAGTCTCTACAGTTTATTGAAAAAAAAAAGTGGGATTTTGACCTTGATGGAGAAGGATCATATACTGGAATCAATTGCTTCTTGTTCTCCTGCTTATGTTGAATATTACTGTACTTATCAATAGAAGTTTATTTTTTTCATAATGTTTGTTACTTTTAGTAATAAGGGAAACTTCCACAGAACCAGTAAAATTTTCAGATGATCAAGAATGATTTGGTAGTTTTATTATGATCGGAATAAATTCAGTTAAACAACAAGACAGAATAGTTAAAATTACTTAAGGTCAGAAGCATGTAACTTAATTTGAATTTAATCCTTCCTACGTATAATATTTTAGCAGCCAGGACCAAAATTCACTATTATCTTTTTTTTTTTCACTATTATCTTGATGTTAATGATAATAAACATGATTAATAAACATGCAAACAGGTTTGTTTGAAAATTCTGGTTCCTTTAGCTCATTTCTCAGCCAGTCTCTAGTGTGTGCCTCATTCTTATGCTTCAAGATGGTGGTTCAAGTTTTAACCATCGCATCTCCATTCCAGGCAGCAGATTGGAGGAAGGTGTGGGAAAGAAAGGAGTCAAAGTTAGACTCCAAACATGTTTTAAATAAAGTTCTGGGAAAGTGTCATACAACATGTTAGAACTTAGTCCCCTGCAAAGTTTACCTCCAAGAGGAGCAGAGAAATGTAATCTTTATTTGGGGTGGCCACAAGCCCAGCTAAAACTGTGCAGTCTGTTACTGTGAAGGAAGAAGAGAATGGATATTGAGGATTCTAGAAGTCTTTGTATCCATCCTTATCACTACAAAAAGTACATTCTCAAGGGCAACAAATGAGTTCCAGCATGGTGTATGAGGACTCTGACATTCAGAAGGGAGAATGGGGAGAGTAACTTCAAGGTGATAAACTAATGGAACCCTGGAGTATTGAAGTGATTTTTAATGTTTCTTTAAATGTGAGATTTCAGGTAGAAATAGTCTGAAGATTGTATATCCTAGGGCGTCTTTAACAAAGTACCACAGTCTAGATGGCTTAAAACAATAATAATTTTTTCTTTCACAGTTCTGGAGGCTAAAAGTCTACTATCAGGGTGTCAGTAAGGTCAAGCTCCCTCTGAGACTCATGGTAGAATCTTCCTTTGCCTCTTCCTAGCTTCTGGTGTTGGCCATCAGTTGCTGGCATCCCTTGTTTTGCAGCTGCATCACTCCCATCTTTGCCTCTGTGGTCACATGGCCTTCCCCCTGTGCGTCTTGATGTTCACAGGGTGTTTTCCTCTTAGAAGGACATTGAATATATTGGGTTAGAGCCTATTCTAACATACTCATCCTACCTTAATTTCATAAACCATATTTCCAAACAAGGTCACATTCACAGGTGCCAGGGGTTAGGACTTCAGTATATCTCTTAGAGGGATACAATTCCACTTATAAAAGAGTATTTCTACAAAATATACTGTTTGATGAGGTTTAGAAATCCAGACAAGACACATTTGTGTTTTATTTTGTTTTTTATAATGAAATTCCACTATGGTTAGAGGTCTATGTTATTCTTCAAGACTTTTAGATCCAGATTTTTGTTATTTTTGATGTGTCAATAGGCAAAAACAGGCTTTATGGTGACCCTAATTATTTAGAATATACCAATCTAGATTTTTTTCCTTTCTGTATTGAAACTTATCCCCTTGAGCACCACATCAAGCCTCATGTCTTCTTTGTCATTCCTGTGGAGATGACACACAAATGTATATTTGACATCATTACTAAGCTCTTTTTCTGGTGTCTTCAGTGTTTACTGCATGTATCTTGTCTTAAGTTTGGTGTATACCATGTAACGTACTCAAAGATGTTCATTCACAATTCATTTTTTAACTTTACACACTTATCATAATAGAGTTTTTTCAGTCTATTGAAGATTAGAATTGGTGCATTAAATGGTAGAGTTGGTGCATTAAATTGTTCAGGTAGCTATGCAAACCATGAGAAGTAATAACTAAAACTCTGACTTCTGGAGGAGAGGAAAGATACATACACACACAACCTAAAAAACACAGATGTGTGTATACTCATGAGCTTATATATAAACATTCAAAATCCATCCCCCAAAGATGGCAGATTGAGAACATTTATTAACAAACAGTCTATTTTACCTCAGAACACTAATGAATACACAACGACACAGTTGATATTGATAAAAGTTTATAATTCAGTACATATTGTTTGTAGTGTATCTTTATAAATGTTTCAGTCTAAGTTGTTTAATATTTTTATTTTAAAAGGTAACATTTTTGAGGGCTTAAAGCATAAGTTTTAATTCTGTAGAAAATTTACTAAGATCAGATTACTTTGCAATACAAAAATATTTTTTAAATAAAATTGTTACTTTTATCATCTTTTGATTTTGATTTACTTCCATATGTAGAAAATAGAGTAAATTATAAATTTGAAAGAAAATCTTGTTTGAGTGAAATTAAATGTACATGCTTTATATGCCCACAGCAAATGTGATTATTTTAAGTTTATCTCCTTCCTATATGTTTCTGTGGAACCCATGCTTTCTTACTCTCTGTGGTTAGTACATACATTTTATGAATGTAAATGTACGATGTCACTTATATGTGGAATCTAAGGAAGCTGAACTCATAGAAACAAAGAGAAGAATGGTGGTTACCAGGGACTTGGGAGTGAGGAAATGAGGAGATTTTTGTCAAAAAGTACTAACGTCCAGTTATAAGATGAATAAGTTTGGGTGTAACACGGTGATTATAGTTAACAATACTGTATTATATACTTGAAAGTTGCTGGGAGAGTAAATCTTAAATGTTCTCACCACATACACACACACACACACACACACACACACACACAACAATGGTAGTCAGGTGATGTTCGCTAATGCTATGGTGGTAATCATTTTGCAATATATAAATGTATCAATACCGCATGTGTACACCTTAAACTTACATAATGTTATATGTCAATTATAATTCAGTAAAGCTGGAAAAAATAAAAGTGAAGATATTTATCAGTGTTTGGGTTATGGGTCTTAATAATATTCAAAATATTTTAATTCAGGGAATTGGAGTAGATTGTTGTGGAAGAGAGTTGAGGGAAATATTGTCATGGTGCATGTCATATAAAGTTTACATAACTTCCCATGTTTTTTCTTGTCTTGGCAGTGTGCGCAGGAACAGAGAATAAGTTGAGCTCTCTCTCTGACCTGGAACAGCAGTACCGAGCCTTGCGCAAATACTATGAGAACTGTGAGGTAGTCATGGGCAACCTGGAGATAACCAGCATCGAGCACAACCGGGACCTCTCTTTTCTGCGGGTAAAGCTGTCTCTTTCTCTTCTTTCTTTGTAAATGCACAGTGGTGTCACAATGCAAAAGACAGACCTGTTTCTTGTACCTGATGGTTATGTTCGTCTGCCCTGCCTGGCAGTGTTCATGACTGTAGACATGTAGAAGAGAAGAGATGCCAAGGCACACCCAGGAAAAGAAAAAGAGTACCAATGGCATCATGATTGACACCCTAGTTTAGAACAGTTACTGTTGCCCTAAGATTGACAGAAGATTCTGTCGGGGTGTAGGACATGACTTCTAGCAAGTGTGTCTTTTTCTGAATGGCGGGCAAGAGGAAAACTTTAGGCTGTGGGCTAGGAGCATCAGAGGACCAATCAGATAAGAATTGGTAACTTTAGCTAGTAATCTCCTTTTCTGCCCCATTCTGTCACTTTGGAAATTTTAAACGATTTCATATTACCATAATGAGAGTAATACTGTTAACTTTAGAAGAAAAATGACATCAGTTTTTGAAAACCAACAAATTATTGAGTCATAGGAAATCACAAGTACTTATATAAGTTGATATATGCATGCATATAAACGCACACGTGCATATATGAAGTTACCCAGAGACGAGTCCTTTTACAGACTCATTTTTGGGGCTCTCATTTATCCTTATTCTGTTAAACCTGTTATTAGTACTTAATGCCTACAGTTTCTTAAGTTTTGCTTCATCCGGAACAGGTATAGGAAAATCTGAACTTCAAAGAGACTTTGACGAAGTGAGATGAGGATGCAGTGTTTTGTATAACTAATAATTTATTCTTCATAAAAGAATTAATAAGATTATTTTAAGTAATAGCATCCCTAGAATATATTCAATCTTATTTTCAATATTATTTACAGACTTCTCAGGAGCACTGTCTTATATAAATAAAGATGTAAATAATGTTTTGAATACTGATACAGTAAACTATTTAGTAGATAGTAAATTAGAGAACTATGATACTTTTAATCATTCCATACTTAGATAAGAAGTAAAAAACAGTCATTTTTGAAATACTTTGAATGTAATAAAAATGTCTAGAAGTGATAACAACCTCAGAAAATGTACCACCTCAAAACTTAAATAACACTATGAGACATGATATCTGCTTTTAAAATGACTATCATACTAGTATTGATATAGAGAATTTCCATATCAAGGTGTTTCCATATAGTATTGTTTGGTTGATAGAACTCTAATTCTACAGGTTATGTAGCTTGTATTAGCTATGGTGTTTAATTATGACATCTTTGTTTATCAAGAGTAGATAGTAAAAATTTATCTGAAGCCTTGAGTGAGAAGACCTAAAAAGAACTTATCACTTTTTTTTTTTTCTATTTTGGACTACCGTTTCAAGAAATGAACACATACAAGCTATCCTAGAACAACCTCTTCATAGCAGTGCATCTGAGTATTAGTTATTAAAATTTGTTTGCAAGATTCTAACATGTCTTGATTATTTTCAGATAGAATTTATTCTTCAAAATCAAAATAAAAACTTGATGGTATATGAGCTGATTTGTAGATTTAGTTAGAAATGCCAAGAAACTCAATGATGTTGTAGAAAAGGAAAAGTAAGAGCTGAATTCTAAAACAGAGGAAATGGGTTAAATGGTCTATTAGAACAGAATAATATGAGAAAATTTTAAAAGGCAATCTAAGATGTTAGTTTTTCTTCTTATTCTTTCCTTGCTTTGTTTGCTCTAGATTTCACTGGCTTAACAAAAAATAGCATGAGTACTATGACAGTCTTTAAAATAAATAACATAAAATTGTCTTATTACATATTTTATTATTTCATCATTCTTAATCTCTTATAAGGTAACAGAATGATCAAAAATTGACTTTAGTCAATTTTAATCTTAGAAATATGAAAGTAGCATATAAATCTTTGGGCATCATGGTCTATACCATTGGATATTCTACATTTTTAGGAACTATTCTGAAGTAAAAATAAAAATAAGTTAATAGAATGAACAGATTTGGGAAAGAATAAAATAAGGAGGGCCAAGATTTGTACTTGGAGCAAGAAATAAGTTATTTCTTTAAAAAAGTAATTATTGGCTCCTAAGAAGCATCTCTAAAAATTCATATAAACTTTGTACTAACTCATGCGCATATCTCAATTTTAATGTTTGTTTAATGATAACTATAATAGGTTTTCTTTTTATTTTTGACTTACTAATAAGAGTGTATACTTTGTTCCTTTGGAAAATAATCATTTCTAATAGTGACATGTATTCATTTACTCAGCAAATGGTCTTAGCCCAAGGATACAATAGCAAGTAATCTATTGTTCTTGGTTTCAACAATCTTGCAGTCTTGTAGAGGGTTACAGATGTGTAATAAATAATTACTGCATGTATGAGTGTGTGTGCATGTATACATATATATGCACATACAAAATTGTTTAGTTGCCAAGACTGAAATAAGAAGCCAGAATCAGAATGAAAGCATGGTCTTGTGTTAATGGTAAGTGTGGGTGCTGGGCAAAGAAAGGAATGGGTAATTCTGAAGGATTCAGGAAAGATTTCATCAGAAACATGCTTAGATTGAGTCATGAGAAAATGAATAGAGGCTCACAAAGTGGGTGGGTGGGAGGGCATTCCAATGGGAGTAATATAAGTTAAGGCTTAGAAAGAAGGCCCTAAGTCAGAGTTAATAAATGTGTACCTAGTGTTATTGCTTTAGATACTGGACACATGCGTTCAAATGAATCAAACAGGGTTCTTCCTCTCATGGAACTTATAGTATAGTGTGTATGAAGATAAATTGGGGGATGGAATAAAATATTAAATTGGAGAGATAGAGACCCTTATAATATAGATAAATATCTAGGAAACATCAGCACCCAAATGACAAATTAGCATTTGGGGATAAGATGAAATAGTCAAGGGAGATTGACAAGTGTTAGTCCAAGAAGTGGTCCTAGGGCAGAACTCTGTGGATTCCCATTCTCTGTTTTTTGGTGAGTCCCTGAAAGTTAGGACTATTAGCTGAAATCTTCCTTCTACTGCACTGGATGAGCCATTATTTCTAACTATACCTTAGAATATGCTAAAAGCTCTCTGTTTAATATAAAATTTAATTCCTTCTGATAACTACATTATGGTTCATTTGTGTTTTTAGTAGCTTCCTTCCAAAGTACATAATCTGTTCGATATTGACACATTGCGATAAATAGAGCCCGTATAAAGGAAATCTAGTTATGTTGCATTATGCTATCATTTATGATAAATTTTGAATTGTATGAGTGAATAGTAAACTTTCATTAACTTATCCTATGGATTACATAGCCCTCACATATATTTATAGAACTGTAATTCATTGAGCCACTTTTTATAGAGATGTGCAATTTCCCTTCCTCTAAGAATGACCCATATCTATAAGGCGTTTAGAAAGACATCATAGATAGGGATTTTAAATTTCATTTTGGAATTTATTTCTGTCTTTAAGAAATTGTTTTTGTTTTAAAAATATTTTCCATCCTTATTTTCGTCTCTACTAGCAAGGTCATAGTGATTTTTTGTGGTTCGCTTTGTAAGAAACCACTCTAGTTTCTGTGATTCACGAGAGCAGTTTAACCGTATGCTCTATTTACCTCTTTTACTATCTGAATAGTCAATGTCTAGAATGGTGCCTAAAATATAGTAGGTTTTCATTGTCTTTGTTTAATGGACAAATGTGTTATTCTTAATATTTAATAATACTTAATTATAAATCGCTGTTTTATATGTGGCATGTTCCCTAGATAAATATGTGGGACCCTCCTCATGTTATTTCAGTGTGACAGCTCCACAGGTCACATGTGTGGGCATAAGACACAGTCTGGGTCAATCAAAATCCATTCCCATGAGGATTTGGAATTTTGACTAAGACCATTCAGTTTGTATATTAGTTAGCTTCTTGACCACTTGGGTACCAGAACACAGCTGTTTTTTCCTCATTGTTTGAGTGTCAGAGAGAGCTGTGAAAACAGCAGAATGGAGCCAACACACTGAAAATGACATAGAGACCAGAGAAAGAGATCGTTCACCCCAAATTAATAATGAGGAAGCCATTCATTTCCAGGTTCCAGTCTGCTTCTGAAGATTGGTTGCATTACAGCCATTGGGTCAATAGGATACTCTTGGAACTTGATAGTAGCCTTGAAGTGATTTCCCTTTTTTTTCTTAAACTAGATAGGTTTGTTTTCTTTCACTGATACTAAAATATCTTATCTAGTATATCTCCCAAGATCTCAAGAACACAGCAGAAGTGGGCCTTTGAAATTGGATTGAAGATGTGCTTATATATAATCAAAAAAACCCAACAACCCTGTAATGTTTTGTAGATACTTTCTTAATCTTTGTTAGATATATGTTATTAAAATACTTTGAAATGCCTTCTTTCAAGATGGTTTTATTATATCAAACTTGATGCTTATCTCTGTATACAGCTTTTAACCCAGCTTTGTTGTAACCTCAAGTTTTTATATTTCTTTTTTGGGAAAAAAAAATCTAGTTAATAGCACTTAAATTTAGACCCCTGAGACACTGTATAGTTGGCTAGAAAAAGGCCCTAAAACTTACTTACTATGTACTTTATCACCGTCACAAGGTTAAGACTTATAATAGAAAACAGCAAGGCATAGAAATCACAGATTTTGCACTATTGTCTTACACTTTGTGAACTCTCTAAAACAAGATAAAATATAGCAAGTAATGGGAATGAACCATTGGACCTTTTACCCTCATTAAAATTCTTGAGGGTTTCTCTCCTTTGTCATCCCATTGGTCTTCATTGCTACTGCTGGCATTCAGTAACTCAGAGCTTCTAACAAGGTGCCTGACCTGCTAGCTTTTGTACTTTAAATTTATTTTCTCTGTTTTATATATTCACTTTAAGCAAATAATTTTTAAGCGCCAAATAAGTGTAAAGCAGTGTGATGTATAATGTAGAGTACATATAAGGAATGTTAATACCTATCTTCAACCATCGTTATAATAGGTAATCACTT